GCTCAGCCAAGCCGGCCTTCTGCCTCGCCTGCTTGACTTCCAACATTTGTAATTGCCTGCTCATGTGCCCTTAGGAGGTGATGTTTAAAAAGTGACCAGCACTGATGGACTCCAGCACCCGCAAAAACATTTTCCCTGGGGATTTTACTGTCTCATTCCCCGAGCAGCCTGAAGTCTGCTCTCCTCATGTCCAGAGCTGAGGTTTTGTTGACACTTTTCCTCCTGTCAACAGAGATTTTAAACTCGATTGCTTCATGATCACTGTGGCCAAGACAGCCACCAATCTCCACTTTGCTCAGGAGATCCACTCAGTTGACAAGGAGGGCATCTTTCATAGTCGACTTCTTTAGGATCTGTTCCATAAAGTTGTCATCCAGGTTTTTGCTGTATTCTGCACCTGGGATGGGGCAACCCAGGATGTATGTACAGACTGGGGAATGAGATGCTGGAAAGCAGTGCCATGAAAAGGGACCTGGGGGTCCTGGTTGACAGAAAGTTGAATAGGAGTCAGCAGTGTGCCCTGGCAGCCAGGAGGGCCAACCGTGTCATGGGGTGCATCAGGCAAAGCATCACCAGCCCATCAAGGGAGGGGCTTGTCCCACTCTACTCTGCCCTGGTGTGGCCTCACCTTGAATATTGTGTGCAGTTTTGGTCACTGTAATATAAGAAAGATATTAAGCTACTAGAGAGTGTCCAAAGGAGGGCAACAAAGATGGTGAAAGGCCTTGAGGGGAAGCCGTATGAGGAGTAGCTGAGGAGCTGAGGTCACTTGGTCTGTTCAGCCTGGTGAAGAGGAGACTGAGGGGAGACCTCATTGCAGTCTACAACTTCCTAGTGAGGGGAAGAGAAGGGGCAGACACTGATCTCTTCTCTGTGGTTACCAGTGAGAGGACCCGAGGGAATGGCCTGAAGTTGTGTCAAAGGAGGTTTACATTTGATATTAGGAAGAGGTTCTTCATCCAGAGGGTGGTTGGGCACTGGAACAGGCTCCCCAGGGAAGTGGTCACAACAGCAATCCTGACAGAGTTCAAGAGGTGTTTGGATGATACTCTCAGGTACATGGTGTGACTCTTGGGGATGGTCCTGTGCAGGGCTAAGGGTTGGACTCGATGATCCCTGTGGGTCCCTTCCAACTCAGCATATTCTGTGATTCTGTGATCTTCTGGCCCAGGTTGTACTAGCTGTGTGATCCACTCTGTTGACAAGCAGCAGATCAAGGAGGGCACCTTTCCGAGTTGGGTCCCTTAGGACCTGTTCCATAAAGATGTCATCCAGGTTTTTTAGGAATCTTCTGGCCTGGGTTGTACCATCTGTGTGATGCTCCCAGTTAATTTCTGGCAAGTCTAAGTCCTCCATAAGGACAAGGGCAGTCAACTTGGAAGTGTCCTTTAGATCCCCAAAGAATAATTCATTGGTGTCATCATCCTGGCTGGGAGGTCTATAGTAGACTCCCACGATGACATCCCCGTTATTTGTTTGCCCCTTGATTCTTACCCAGAGGCTCTCAACTGTGCCATTGCCAACTGTGAGCTCCATATATTCTAACCCTTCTATTACATACAGTGCCACTCCTCCACCTCTTCTGCTCTGTCTATCCGTCCTCAAGAGCCTGTAACCGTCCAACAGGGCACTCCAGTCACAGGTCTCATCTCACCAGGTTTCACTTATGCCAGTGATGTCAAACCTCTGGGACTGGGCCAAAGCTTTGAGCTCCTCTTGTTTGTTCCTCATGCTGCATGCATTGGTGTAGAAACATTTCAGATGTGGTACATTGTAGCCAACACCTTGCAAGACAGATTGAGGGATCCCATTAGTGCTTGTTTCCTCAAGTTTTGGCACACTATCCCATCGCTCATCACTGGCAAGCCTGGTTTTGTCCCTTTCCCCCTTCCAAGCTAGTTTAAATCTCTGTCAACGAGCCTTGCTAGCTCCTATGCTAGAACTCTTTTTCCCCTTTGAGAAAGGCTCATCCTGTCAAGTGTCAGTAGATCAAGTGTTGAATAGACCATCCCATGGTCAAAACCCCCAAATTTTTCCAATTACACCAGCCTCAGAGCCACACATTGACCTGATGGATTTGCCTATTCTTATTAATATTATTCCTTGTTACCGGAAGGATCAAGGAAATCACTACCTGTGATAAAGAATAAAGGAGGGAAAAAAACAACAGCCCTCTCTCAAAATAGAGAGATCTTCACAAGCAAATCCAAGTGGGAATCAGTGACAGAAAGTAGCATCTCTCAGAGGTGAGTGAAGATCACATCTTTAAAATGTTCTTTTGTTTTCAAAAAGAAAGATTTCATGATGTTCAGAGAATCAGTACATAAAGTTAAATTTTATCCAGGAATCCTACTGGAATTTACTGACCTAAAGAGGGGGAAGGGTGTGGGGCAGAAATAGGATTATCACTCACATCTCAAGTATATCTCTGTGTGGTGGGTCGACCATGGCCGGATGCCAGCTGCCCACCAAAGATGCTTTATCACTCCCCTCCTCAACTGCACAGGGAAAAGAAAAGATAACAAAAGGTTCGTGGGTCAAGATAAGGACAGGGAGATCACTCACCAATTACCATCATGTGCAAAACCAGACATGGCTTGAGGAAATTAGTTTATTACCAATGTAATCAGAGTAATGACAAGTAAAAACTAAATCTTAAAAATACCTTCCACCCACCCCTCCCTTCTCGGGCTCAGCGTCATTCCTGGATTCATAAAATCATAGAATCATGGCCTGGGTTGGAAGGAACCTCAAAGATCATCTAGTTCCAACCCCCCTGCCACGGGCAGGGACACCTTCCACTAGACCAGGTTGCTCAGAGCTCCATCCACCCTTGAACACTTCCAGGGTGGGGCATTCACACCTTTTCTGGGCAACCTGTTCCAGTGCCTCACCACCCTCACAGTAGTGAATTTTTTTCTAATATCTAATCTAACCATACTCTCAGTTTGAAGCCATTCCCCCTTGTCCTGTCACTCCATGCTCTTGTAAATAGTCTCTCTCTGCCTTTCTAGTAGGCTCCCTTCAGGTACTGGAAGGTCACAATTAAGTCACCCCATAGTCTTCTCTTTTCCAGGCTGAGAAATTCTTTACCTCCATGCCCCCAATGTCAAAGGGGATGGAGAATGGGGGTTGCAGTCAGTTCATCACACATTGTTTCTGCTGCTCCTTCCTCCTCAGGAGGAGGACTCGTCACACTCTTCCCCTACTCCAGTGTGGGGTCTCTCCCATGGGAGACAGCCTTTCATGAACTTTTCCTATATGAGTCCTTCCCCGAGGTTGCAGTTCTTTACAAACTGCTTCAGCATGGGTCCTTTCCACAGGGTGCAGTCCTTCAGGAACAGACTGGTCCAGCGTGGTTCCTCTGTGGGGTCACAGATCCTGCCAGCAAACCTGCTCCAGCGTGTGGTCCTCTCTTCATGGGGCCACAGGACCTACCTACAGGCTTCCTACAGGGTCATAGCCTTCTTTCAGGCATCCACATGCTCCAGCATGGGGTCCTCCACAGGATGCAGGTGGATATCTGCTCCACCATGGACCTCCATGGGCTGCAGGGGGACAGCCTGCCTCACCATGGTCTTCACCACAGTCCTCAGGGGAATCTCTGCTCTGGCACCTGGAGCACCTCCTCCCCCTCCTTCTTCACTGACTTTGGTGTCTTCAGAGTTGTTTCTCTCACATGTTCTCACTTCTCTCTCCAGCTGAAGTTGTCAGGTTTTTTTGCCCCCCTCTTCTTGAATATGTTCTCACAGAGGCGCTACCATTGTTGCTGCATGGTTCAGCCTTGGCCAGAAGCAGATCCATCTTGGAGATGGCTGGCATTGACTTGATCGGACATAGGGGAAGCTTCTAGCAACTTCTCACAGAAGTCACCCCTGTAGCCCCCCCCACCAAAACCTTGCCACACAAACTCAAGACACTCTCAAACTTTCTTTACTGCAGTCTAAGTGGACATATGCATGAGTTGCCATCACTTACTATCTTTCTACTAAGCATCTGAACCACTGCAAGTGAGCAGCCACATGCACGTTATTTAGCAAAGTAATGTTTTTCGTTTTTCAATAAATAGCCAAGAAATCTCTGTGAATGCTGCTAGGGTCTAAGAGAGTATTTTAGTTCCAACTATTGTGAACAAGCTCATCTCCATAAGTTGCAAATTAAAGTCTCTTGAAAGGATTATAGCTTTTGATTACACTGTATATCATTAATGTCCTTACTGCAGAGATTTCTGATGTGCCATTTGTAAGGTTACTGTTTTTATACCCTCTTGAGTTAGAACCTAAGGAACAGTCAAATATTTTCTCCCAGTTTTCCAAATTAATTTCTTAGACAAGGTTTCTTATAATAGCAGCTCAACACATTATCTTTCCTAATTTAAAAAAAAACAACAAAGAAAACAACTAGAAAAAACCCAACCCAACTGAGTTTTGATAAAAGCTTACCATGGAGAGCTTTATTAGGAGGGAAACACCACATTCTGTACAACAAAAATAGGAAGATTATATAACAGAGGTCTAGTGGAAGGTGTCCCTGCCCATAGCAGTGGGGTTGGAACTAGATGATCTTTAAGGTCCCTTCCAACCCAAACCATTCTATGATATTATACTATGATTTACTAAGTGATTAGAGGCACTAAACATGTCTTTCATAATGCTGAAGCCAATGATATTGATAACATCATTGAATATGGAGATGAAAATAGGTTATTGTAACCCTATTTGTACTTTTTAGTGCATCTCCCAGGGAATGCGTTTTTAGACTGCTCAATATATTCGGTAACAGGTCATTGCTTAAATTCAGCAACAGATTTATCAAAGTAAATATGAATGCAAGGAAAATAGTATTTTCCAATAAGCACTTAAATATATAATGAAGCAATGCAACCATTTTAACATTTCAGTAATCTACTACTGAACAAAAGCATCTGATAAGATATGTGAAGGACATTAGACTGGAAAATAAAGTTGATCAGCAAGCAAGTTCTCCAAAATAAAGCTTACCTTTGAGCCATCCAAACTTATTATCCTGTAGACATTTCTTGTGCTGTCATAGAAGTAGGACACAGTAACAGCATGCTTGCTGGTGGGAATCCAGTTCTTCTTAGTGTTTGGGTCAATCTGGAAGACATGAGCTCGGGTGCTGAAGATGGGTTGTTCCCTGAAGGATAGAGAGTAAAAGTAATGAATCTGATTTATTTGTAATACTGTTGCACACAAGTTATCTGCCAGTTATTCCCATCTGAATGTATACATTTCACTTTACATGATAATTTTTTCCTAAAAACTTCTTTTTGTGTTGCTGCATGGAGCAGGTAAGTGCATTAATATAAATATGAAAGCAAAATGCAAGATTTCTAAAGCAAAAATCAGCACCCAGATGTAGAGTCATATAAAGGCAGTGTCCTGGGTTGCACAAAAATTCTGGTATCCAACCTTTTCTTTTCTCTTTTCCCTAAATATGCCTACTAATTTGAACTGTGAGGAGAACTTGAGATAAGGGTGGTACTATTATCCTAGGAGAAAAATGTATCCACAAGTGTGAAAGACTGGAATGCTGATGACTCTGCTATGATGACTCCGCTATGATGACTCCCCTCTGGGAAACCACCAGGACAATTTACACATAGCCTTAAGATATTCATCTCTGCTGATGAGTCATAATATATCCACCTAACAGGCAGCTGTAACATCTTAGAAGGTGTCAAAAACTCCTGAAATGTCCAGTCATCCAGTATTACATTATCCATTGTAAAACAACCCCCCCCCTCGGGGAGGTATCGGGACGTTCCCACCTAGCCTAAACCAAATAAAAGACCACACTCGGACTTCACTTAACACTGGGTTTTCTTCCCTCACCACACGGGACTTTCCTTACCACCTGGGGCTTCTACCACCACCTCAATGGATACGGACTGCGACCACCACTTTGACAGGACTACAGCCACCATTTCAACCAATGAACATCAAAATTGCAACAACTAAGTCTCGTTGCTGGATGCAACAGGTGTCTTGCGGGTCCTTCCAGTCGCCTGGGGGCTCCGCAGCCCTGCTCTGGCTGCCTGTACCAGCACCGCAGCCTCACTCCAGTGCCACACAAGCACCTGCCAGTATCGAATCCCAGCTATCTGCCGTTTCCTGCCAGTGCTGACTCTCCAACTGTTCCTGCCAGGTTTTCCGGGTGTGAGGAGGCAAATTGAGTGGTAGGGAGGCCATCTTGTCTCTGTCCTGTGACCACATGTTTTTTTTCTGGGTCGGGAAGGATGGTCACCTGTCAGGGCTGACAGCGGGTCTGTTAGCTCTTTGGAAGAAGATTTTGACCTGGGAAAGTTACGGGTGTATCCTTGAGATAGGAGAGGTATGTACGCAACCCTGGCTGAAAGAAGACAGCTGTGGAGTGTTTAGGTTTGGTCCTGTGAGAACTCCAGCTTTGGCCTTGAGCTTTGCCAACAGTATTACTAACAGATAATAGCTAATTAAAAAATACAATCACCTGCCTGCCTTCTGATGCTTGCTAACATGGGATATAAAAAGACTTGTGGGAAAGAATAAAGAGACTGGTACTTTGCTTGGTACTGGACTGTTTGTGTTTTTCTTTACTTTTGACCGCCGCAACAATAACAGCCACCATCTTGATTTGGTCCAGTGGGCGAGACTTGGGAAATTTCTCTTCATCCGCTGGTTTAACCCAGTTTTATCAGTATTTTTATTAGCATTTCTTCTTGGTAAAGAGCTATTTTTTCACTTACATCTGGGCGTATTTGCTCTCTCTCTCTCTCTGTATTGAAGAAACCAGGGGTATTGAACCTCCTTTAAATATCAATTCATCCCTGTCCCATCACCTACCCAGTCCTCACCCTCCATCTATCCCTTTAAACTACTGGGTATCAGTACATGTGTAACTTCATCTCATTACACTGTGTGTTGCAGAATGTGTACTACTTCCAAAACCCATCTTCTCAAAAATCTTTTAATACCCTGACTATTCTAAATCAACCTGTTGAGGTTTAAACCCAATTGGCAACTAAGTGCCATAGAGCTGCATTTTCCCTTACCTACACAGCCCAGTGGGATGGGGAGGAGAATCAGAAAAAAAGAAAAGTAAAACTGGGTTGAGATAAGAACAATGTAATAGTTGAAACATAGCAAAATATAATAATAATAATGATAAGGAGAGAGAGAGAGAGATAAACTGCAAGAAAAACAAGTGAAGCACAATACAATTGCTCACCACCTGCTGACCCCCCTTCTGGGTAACTCCCCCAGTTTATATACTGGGCATGACATTCCATGGTGTGGAATATTCCTTTGGCCAGTTCAGGCCATGTGTCCTGGTCATGCTCCCTTCCAGCTTCTTGTGCACCTGCTCACTGGCAGAGCATGAGACACTGAAAAAGCCTTGACTAAGAGTAAGCACCACTTAGCAACAACCAAAACATCAGTGTGTTATCAACTCGTACTGAATCCAAAACACAGCACTGTACCAGCTACTGAGAAGAAAATGAACTCTATCCCAACCTAAATCAGGACACAATCTTAGCTCATAATCTTAAACTGACCTGGCTGATTCAATGCAATTATTCTAAAACTTACATTAATTAGGGTTAGGAACGTGTTGTGAAACCCTCACTCTTTGGAGCTTCACATCTGAACATTTTCATAGCAACACCAAATATGTATAACATTGTATAGCATGGTTCAAAGGTAACTGCTTAGCAAATAAAATTATTTAAGGTAAAACTTTACTGTACTTTAGAATTTACAACTTATTTTTTCCCATTATCATTACCAAGACATATAGTATTGCATAGAAATCTGAAAATATTTACATATCACTAAGATGGTTGTCAGTTAAATTTAGCTACATTTTACTGACAAATAGATTGCTGTATTCTTCAGGGAATGCTGCCATCATCAAATCCCAAAGATATTAAGTACCAGAATTTTAACTTGAGCTTAACTTTGTAGGTTTTTGAACTCTTGTTTTCTCCCATTTCCAGATGTGAATAAACATATCCTTTGTCCCTGTCTTCATCTCCCTTTAAGTAAGAGGTAAATTCTTAATACATTTTTCAGCCCAAAATAAAAGCAAAAGAAAAAAATAGGATTTTGGGTACTCATAGTCAAAGGGTTTCGATCTGGCCTCATTACAAAGGGGTACATGTGCACTCTCAGAAATATCTCTACTGCTTGGCAGCTAGAGCAGCTAAGACCAGTTGATTTCAGCAGCAGAATTGTATTATTCAGCTAGGAGTTAATGCTCCTTTAAGCGCATATGCCAGAAGATGTGATGTTCTCCTGTGCTGGATATTAGATGTGATACAGAACAGACTAATGAGAGCACTGTTTAAGTGAAAGCTAAAGGCAGAGGAAGGTAGGCCAGGGGAATCAATGCACATGCTAGTCCTCCATACAAATGTCACTGTACCCTCAGCACAAACTAATCTTCTCTTTCCAAATCACCAAGCTATAGGAGGTTGGGTAGCTGTTTTCCTGATTCCAATCCCTTACACAAACACAAAGGTTATGCAAAGGTGACTTTCATAGCCCTTTTGATTAACATAATATTTACACTAATTCTTATCACTCGTCTGAATCTCTACTTCTTCAGTCACACAACTTAACTTTAGTTCTTGTCTTCAATATTAGATAAATTTTCCATTTACCTCCCAATTAAGCATTACCCAAATGTCATTTGATGCATATTATCATAGTAGAACCAGTTAGTTAACTCTGGAAAGTTAAAGAGCTCATCAAAACAAAAGTCCTAGAAGCCTGACAATTATTTGGATTGTTGCCTAAAAATCAGGAGGAAAAAACTCTCCAGACAACATTAGTATAGATAAGACAGAGAGCAGGTCTTTAATGAAGGCCTTCTGGCGCAAGGAGTACAAAGGTGAGCCGTGTCCAGGAGTTCCACAATTTATGGTCTGATACAAGAACTATCCGCCCCCAGATCCTCCCCAAATCTGCCCCCCTGGCACGCCTCCCTGGAATTGAGTCGGAGGTCCCAAGACCCCTTTCTCCCTCATCTTCTTCACAGCACATACTGTCCTTGGAGCTTCTCCAGGGTTCCGGGCTTGATGGTTGCTTTGACTATGATGGTATCTTGTTTTTCCAGCCTGGGGTGCATATGTTCTTAAACAAGATGTATTTACTATAGTCCTGCCTTGAAAGGAGCCTAAACAAGCCCAAAGAATTTAGAAAGTTCGATATGAAGTGGGGAATAGGGTTTGGTAAGTGTTAACTACTATTTCAAAGTGTGAGAGACTATAAGACTATATTAAAAATCTATATTTACTACACAGTTACTTTAAAATCTACAAAAAGCTAAAAATTCTAAAAATCCTAAGGCATCAGTCCCCCCATTTAAAGACTTGACAAAAACTCTATCTTGTCCAGTCTCTACCACCTATATTTAACATCATACCAGAAAGATGACCAACACCTACAGCATCAGTTCATATAATAAGCTATTATATAAACACTAACTATTTATATAACTAATATAAACAGTTGTTTTATCCAGATCCAGATTGGTAACTATGAAGTAAGTTTATAGAAGATATCTCCGTAAACCTAATGAGACATCTTCAGGAGTTGCCCGATGTAGAATTTAAACTTGTTGCCAAATTTCGATATGAAGTGGGGAATAGGGTTTGGTAAGTGTTAACTACTGTTCTAAAGTGTGAGAGACTATAAGACTATACTAAAAATCTATATTTACTACACAGCTAATTCTAAAATCTACAAAAAGCTAAAAATCCTAAAAATCCTAAGGCATCAGGATGAAGACTGACATTGGAAGGAGAAAAAAAGACTCTGAAGACATTAACTAAAAAGTCAAGAACTGAATTGAAATCATAAATGTATGGTTAATGAATACACATTTGACCAAAATTGCTATTCAGTTCTTTCACAATACAGTATATCGCACAACTGAGGCTTTCAATATACTAGAGGTGTGATGGATTTTTTCTGGAATAGAGTTAATTTTCTTCATAGTAGCTAGTATGGGGCTGTGTTTTGGATTTGTATTGAAAACAGTGCTGATGATACAAGAATATTTTCGTTATTGCTGAGCAGCTCTCATACAGAGTTGAAGGCCTTTTCTGCTTCTCACACCAACCAACCAGCAAGTAGGTTGGGGGTTGCACAAGAAGTTGGGTGGGGACACATCCAGGACAGTTGACTCCAAAGGGATATTCCGTACCATATGACATTATAATCAGCATATAAAGCTGGGGGAAGGAGAAATGGGGGCCATTAAGAGTAATGGCATTTGTCTTCCCAAGTAACTGTTAACACATGATGGAGCCCTGGTTTCCTGGAGATGGCTGAACACTTACCTGCCAATGGGAAGTATTAAATGTATTCCTTGTTTTGCTTTGCTTGATTGTGCTGCCTTTGCTTTATCTCTTGAACTGTCTTTACCTCAACTCACAAGTTTTCTCACTTTTCCGATTCTCTCCTCTATCCCACCTAGCGGGAGTGAGTGAGCAGTTGTGTGGTGCTTAGTTGCCTGCTGGGGTTAAACCACGACAACAGGATAAGATTTTCATATGTAAAAGTTAGACTAAAACTATACATCTAAAGCAAGGGTGAGTGTCAGTAAAAGTTCAGCCTTGAGTGGCTACTCTCCTTCACTATCAATACAACAATCTTATATAGCCCCAACTAAAATAGCCTCGATTTGTTCAATGAGACAGCCTGCATATTTCTGCTCATTGCTCAGCAATGTTTCACAAAGACAAACCAGAGCACTTTGCAGGGTACGTATATGTGTCTGGCTGCTGTGGTTTAGATTTTCTTGTTGAATTTTTCTGTTTCATCATGCAGTTTTAAAGGAAGGCATGGGGGGGCAGCAGTCGCCACTGGGGTACCAGCCATGCAGGGGCGGGGGCAGGTGGCAGAGGAGACAGGATCCCTGAAGCAAAAATACTGTGAGAAC